TGAGTATGAATTGTGGACCAACAGCAACGATGAATGTGGGGTTAAGTGTGATATGTTGATGGAATTTGTAAAAGATTTCAAAGGTGCGGCTCAAATTCTCGAGAAAGGTGGTTTCACTCAATTTAGACCTCATTACATCACCTGGTATTGCCCTCACGCTTTCACGTTGAGCCGGCAGTGCAAGTCTCAGTGTATCAACAAGGGACGATACTGCGCTCCTGATCCTGAGCAGGATTTTAGCTCAGGATACGATGGCAAAGACGTGGTCGTTGAAAACTTGAGACAGCTTTGTGTTTTCAAGGTGGCAAATGAAACCAGGAAACCCTGGGTCTGGTGGGATTACGTCACTGATTTCCAGATCAGATGTCCGATGAAGGAAAAGAAATACAACAAAGATTGTGCTGAGTCTGTTATCAAATCTCTTGGTGAGTGTTTCTTCTTACAGGTCTCGAAAGTTAAAGAAAAGCAATTTTCTTGGGAGACTGAGGTCATATTTTCGACGTTTATCTCTACAGGTATCGATAGCAAAAAAATTGACAAGTGTATGGGAGACCCTGATGCTGACATGGACAATCCAGTTCTAAAGGAAGAACAAGACGCTCAAGTAAATTACCGCTATTACACCTGAATTTTCCTCTGGGCATCTAATAATCATGTTCTTTAAGTAACCATTTGGGGTTGACATTTTATATTATGTAGGTTGGCAAGGGTTCAAGGGGTGATGTTACCATATTGCCCACCTTAGTTGTCAACAACAGACAGTACCGAGGTTTGTCCTGCAGTGTTCAACTTAGACTTGATCATGTAGTTTAGGCTGTTATTTAATTGTTTTCTTGCAGGCAAGTTAGAGAAGAGTGCAGTACTCAAGGCTCTATGCTCCGGTTTTGAGGAGTCAACTGAACCAGCTATATGTCTCAGCACAGGTATGTTTTACATACCCTTACCTAGAATATCCAACTCGATACTCGAAGCGCCTAGAATAAGATTTCCCTTCTTATAAGTTTAATTCTGATTTACATGCCCAGTGATCGATCATCGTATAAATGGCTGGAATGTAAAGTGTACACCAGTGGTCAAAGTTAAAAACGCTTATTGTAAATTTTTAAATTTGCAACCTTCTATTGCATTTGACAGATATGGAGACAAACGAGTGCTTAGATAACAATGGTGGTTGCTGGGAAGATAAATCATCCAACATAACTGCTTGCAAGGTACATTGTGATAATTCCTGGGAAGAATTTCTGTTATATGTATTAATCTGCTTTATTTTCAGGATACTTTTCGCGGAAAAGTATGCGTGTGCCCTATAGTTGATGGTGTGCGATTCAAAGGGGATGGTTACAGCCACTGTGAGCGTGAGTGCTCGGGTCATCTTTTATAAAACTTTTATAATTAAGTTGACTGATGACTTATGTTATACAGTAGCAATCGAGAATGACACAACATTAGTCAGATATGTTACAGAGTGTTACATTCTGTGGTCTTACAGTATGGAAAGATATCAATGAACTGTAAATTGGATGTTGGGTTACAAATATAATCTTGGCTGCATGATCTGTGAACTCTAGCAAAAGAATTGCTACAAGAGGCTAAATTGAGCTGACTTCTACAATAGGATATTGCATTTGTTGTTCATGTGCTTCTGTTTGATCACATTTCATACTTATTTGGTGTTTTTTTATTGCAGCAAGCGGGCCAGGGAGATGCACAATTAACAATGGAGGTTGTTGGCATGAAGAGAAAGATGGACATGCCTTCTCTGCTTGTGTGGTTTGTGTTTCATCTGTACTTTGACTCACTTTGCACAATCTCACCGTATAGTAAACTACTTATGTCTCTACATGTAATACCTTCAGGACAAGGACAGTGTTAAATGCGAGTGTCCTCCAGGATTTAAAGGAGACGGTACTAAGAAATGTGAAGGTTAGACATGTGCTAAAACTCGGGTTACCGTACTTGAACCCGTATTTCTTTGTGTTGATTTATATAAACATCGTCTTAAGGATTTCTGTACTTCCTTCACTAGACATTGATGAGTGCAAGGAGAAGAAAGCATGTCAGTGCCCAGAATGTAGCTGTAAGAACACATGGGGAAGCTACGAATGCTCTTGTAGTGGGGACCTTCTCTACATGAGAGACCATGACACTTGCATCAGTGAGTTTTCATGAACTTGGATTTCTACACTTCTATTGATATGCTCGTGCATAAATTAACCTCTGTATTCAGAAAAGTTGCCTCTCTTTCTAACTTACATTGGTTCTTTTGGTTGAAATTTAGGCAAGACTGGTGCACAAGTAAGATCAGCGTGGGCAGCCGTTTGGCTTATTATGTTATCATTGGGACTAGCAGCTGCTGGGGCGTACCTTGTTTACAAATATAGATTGAGGGTAAGCTTTTAATTAATCTTCTCCTCTCTTATCTGCTTTCTTCTGGTGGTAAAAGCAAAAGAACAGTTTCTTCTGTTTTATTGGTCTGAGATCTCGGTTAAAACGTAGTTCTTCTCTAACATTACATCATTGCCGTATCTATTGCTTGGGGACATTGTTTTGAACTTGTTATGTTCCTGGTTTCACAGCAATACATGGACTCAGAGATCAGAGCCATAATGGCACAGTACATGCCACTGGACAGCCAACCCGAGGTCCCAAACCACGTGAATGATGAACATGCCTGAGAGAGCTTTAATGGTCGATCTATTTAATTTCCGGAAAGGACTTAAGGTGACGCGTTCTTTTAATTGATGTGGCCCTTGATGTCGGTCTTTTTCTCGCCTCTGTATCTTTGTAACTCTTTACCAAATAGTGTATTTGCAAAAGAAAGATTTTAAAGTTACTGTCTATTTTTTTTCACTTGTTCATGGGACTTTTGTAATAGGGAAACTCTGATGTAGCGTCAGAGAAATGGGCAAACTAGACTAGCTACTCAACAACAGAACCAAACATCAATATTTTAAAGTTAATCTTTTGACTTTGGACAAGTTCTGTTCTTTGGCTATAAGTTTTTCTTTTATTTACTATGAATCATTCTAGTACCATTAAAAGCGGTAAGCAATAGTGGTACCGCAATCTTTGTATTGTCTCGCTAAGTCGGTTACACAAAATCCGTTCTTAAGGAGTTTACTATTGCAGGTTTAGGCTTTGGTCGTTATAGCATCATGCTCTCGAGTTTTCAAGCCACATTTTTTTATGCTAAACGTACTTAGACTCGAGGTTCGGAACAACCTCAATTTTGCCTTTCTTTGTGGAGAGCCAGAAGAAACCCGAGTTCTAACACTTAAAAACAGTTTAAGCCAACTTACGCGGAATGAAGTTCATGCTAGATTCGTCAAACACTTTGCTTGTCTTACCTCTCACGGTTCCAACTTTCAATTGGCCTGATATTGTATTTGTATGTTTTGGTGTTCCAAGGGAAAATTTAGCAAATGATGACCTACATCTACAAAGGGTGTCAACAAACAGGCTTAAGTTAGATTCATAACCGAATTAAGGCTCCACGCTACAACGAAACAAGTTTGGAAATTTTCTAAAATAGTCTTCCCAAACAACAATACTACTTGCATATCAAAGTAAGGACAAACGAGAATTAAATAGAGTCCTCTAACATTCATCTAGTTTGCTATAAAAGTAAAATAAGTAAAATTTCTAGTTAAAGAAAAAAAATGATTACGAATAAACACCATAAGCCAAATCAAATTTAGCTTTCTCTGTAACCAAACAAGAAAATAAAACTAAGCTTATCTTCGGTCTCGAGCAGGAACCGGTACCAAACTTGGAATGAAAGTACAGTGCAACGGCCAAGATACATTATCAATACGAGTTTCACTTATCAACCAATTATCCCCGAAAACATAGATGTAGGTGTGACCATAGGTGTCGCAAGAGCATACCACGAGCCTTTTATCTTCGATAAAGTAACTTGGCTGAGTGTAATATATGGTCTCTACTGCTAAATTCGGGACGCTAGGACATGAAAAATTCATGAAATTCACCCAAACCACATCATTACCATTCTCAATATTGTTCTCGGTCACCCAAATGTCAATCTTCTTTGTGACAATGCATTGCTTTAGCATCGAAAACTGATCTTCCCTAAAGACCTTAAGGACAAGAGCATCCCCATCATGGTTTCTCCCACAAGGTATATTACAAAAAAATTCTAATAGTCTGCTAAAAAAATCGAGTTTACTAATGTTGTAGCCCAAGGGATCGGTCTCGTTAGTATAACAAACATAATACAAAGTTCCATTCAAGGATACAGCAGTTTCAACACTAACATAGCCGTCATCAGTTTTTGACTTGGGACGGTCTATCCAAACATTAGAGCAAAAGTCATAGACTTTCCAAAATCTATCAGGGTTAAAGGAATAAGCAACCATCTTGTATTTCTTATTGTGGTATACTTTGCCGTCGAAACACATACGAGAATGTTTTAAACTCGGCTCGAACCATTTACTTTGTCCTAACCAAGGGTTACAAACAACGGCTCCGTTCTCCTTGGTACATAAGAAATTAACAACTCATTGCAATCAACCATCACTACAAGAAAACAAGCATTTTGTGACCCCCAAAAGCGTCCTAAAAGGGTCGCAAAACAGCTATTTGCGACTATTGCGAGACTATCCATGTTGGTCGCTAAAAAACGGTCGCTAAATTTAATGGTCGCAATAACGTCGAATATTTGCGACTCTGTGGAGACTGGTATATATGGTCCTATATAAGCGACGGTTTAAAGACGGATATTAATAGTCATATATTTAAGACGAAATTGTGACCCCTATTAATAAGCAACTACTTTGTGACAAACTTAATATATATATAATAGGGACTGATATGGGACTAGTTGCTGAGTCGTAGATTTGAGATGGTTTTCAGACTTGTAAGTAGTCGCAAATTAGCAACCCCGTAGTGACGCTTTAGGAGTTTTTGAAAATTAATTAGACGCTAATCTACTACCATATATACCCTGTCTCAAATTTTTCTTTTGTTGTGATTCCAAAAGCTAAAAAGAAATGTTGAAATTATATAAATTTGATGAACCAAAATGTTGCTAATCAAACCCCTAATGTTGTTAATCAAAGCCTTACACAGTATGAAACATTCTAAAGATCTAACATGTTCATAAGAGAAGGCAAAAAGTTCTTAGGGTGATGGAGAAGGTGCTGAAGTAGCAAGTATGGTTCCTCGTGGTTGTGCGGTGGCTAGGAGATTTCCTAGTTTTGCGATTTGTACATGGCGGAGAGCTCCTCCCCTTTCTCATATTATATTTCCAGATGCCCTTAGTAGAATTGAATAATCCACAAAACCCTAAAAAGATGAAACAAACAATCAGCAAAAAAATTTACATGGAGAAGAAAGCACACATATATACGTCAACCTAGTTTCTAATCATCACCTAAGGAGGTTTAGGTAGACATCGGGGTGGATTTGAAGTTCAAACTCTTCCTAAGCATCTTAAGCTCAGCTTCTTGGCATGTATAGTTGTCCTTTCCTCTTCTTTCACATGAATCTTTTTATTATGCTTTGAATAGAACTGCACAAGAAGATAAAAACAAATGCTTTTCAATGACAATACCACTGTTTTTGTCCCGTAATTTCTGTGGTAGCTTTCTCTTATATATAACCACCATGTGTCTATCTAACGCTTTTAATAGACAAGCTAAATTTCCTGAAATTGCAGTGTAATCGACTAAATGATCTGATCTAATCAGTTTGGTAGTTGCTTCAAGCTGTAAAATTAAAAAAAAGAAAAGAAAACAGTAGGTTTCAGAAACAAAAACAAACATTGGGTATTTACTTACACCTCAATTCCAAACGTTTCATTAACAAAATCACCACAGACCAATTGAACAACTAGTGAATCAATCTAACCTAAATTGATCAACAAGTGCTCACAAATCTGGATCCAAACAAAATTTCATTGGAAGCATAAGAAAAGATTTCAGAAGCAACAAAGAAAATCCCACATAGTTTCGATAAATGAACCAAAGATGAGATACAAACCTCTTAGATATATGAATCAAATTCAGAATCGCACATATGGAGGCGAGAGAGAAGGAGCAAGAGACGACTCGGAGGGAGAAGTATTAAGCAACTAAACCAGTCAACTTTCTGGGCTACGACGGTTCGAAGTGAGTGTGATGTCGTGAAGTCGGAATCGGAGGAGGTGGAGAAGAATGGAATGTGCGACAAAAAAATTTCAATGAGGTGAGAAAAAGAACAAAGGAGACGGAGAAGAAGAACGAAAGAGGAGAAGTCTTCACCAAACAGAAAAAAAGGAAAAGATCTCTACCGTTGGATTTATTCTATCTATGGTGGAGAATTAACCAAAGTCCAATATGGACTAGCCAATGAGAAACCTTCTCTAGTTTGGCTTTTGGTAAATTGTGGTTTTATACTTTTTGATTAATATTTTTAAGTCTATAAGTATAAAGTAAGTTTTAGAATTTCTCATATAGGGTTTGAATTTGTTTCAGAAATTTTGAATAAGAATTTTATTTTTGAATATATATATATATATATATATATATATATTGGTTTAAAGAATAAATAAATATTTTATTAGAGAGAGATTTTAGTAAATATTTTTGATCCAATAAATATTTTCCCAATTTTGCGATTTCTTCTGATTTAATTATAAAATTTACTTTAAAATTTTGTTATTTATTCAAATGGCGAGGGTTTGATTATGTAAATATTACAGAATAAAATGTTATAACCCAAAATAGATTTTAGTATAAAATGTACTTCAAAAATGTTAAGATAGATGAGGTACCAAAAGAGTAAGTACATAATTATTTGGGGGGTAATATTTAGCGGTTAAACACTTAGTCAAAATCTGTAAAAATTATCGAAATTTAAAAGCAGTCTCACATTAGTCGCAAAATATGTAGCAAAAAAGTAGCAAATATGTAGCAACTTAGTCGCAAATATTTTACAGACGAATTTGTGACTGTTTAGCCACTCTCGAGTTTAGTTAAATCGAAATTAGAGTAATGAGATTTCTTAAAAAGATTAGTTATAAGTTTATACATTGATTTTATCAACATTAGCTCTAAAAACTAATTAAGACCCTGCATTGTAGGTGTTTTTCTAACCAAGCTTTCATTAGTAACAAATCTAATAAAGGGTTAACATGTTGTTTTAGGGTAATGATGAGGGTTTTAGCTAAATCCTTAAAACTAGTGATATAAACTTAATTTTTGCAAGGAATAGTAATATATGTACTCTATGCTGCCTATTTGAATGTTTATGAGTGATACATTACAACAATATTGATCTAAATCATGTATAATTCAAGTTTTGTATTGTGACTAATGAATGTCTGTCACAAAACAGTCACAATGTGCGACTCTTTTGTAATGTTTTTGCGACGCCTATCTTGTGCCTTTTTGAGACTATTTTGGGACTTATTTCCGACGCACTAATGAAAGTTTTCTCATTTGCAGCGACTGTGACTGCAAAAGCACAAAACCACAGTGATGGCAGCTAAAGACAGAACATAACGACAGTGACGTATTGATGGAGGTATTGCAGGAGAAAGAAACGAATGTGTGTTTACGTAAAACATATCGTCGTTGGAGTTTTGAGCAAGAGTTAGAGTGACTCTTTTAATGACAACGGCGACAGATTTTAAGATGATCAGCGACTATTTTTAATATTTAGAACAACGGCACAGTTTATTTTGTATTTGCAGATCATGATCGCTGCGACCACGTAACGAACAGATCCGTAGTAGCAAACTTGAAGCAAAGTAGTCGCAAAAGAGTTACATACTGTTTTGTGACGAATTAGCCACTCTCGTATTTAGTTAATTCGAAATTAGAGTAATGAGATATGTTAAAATGGTTAGTTATTCGTTTATACATTGATTTCATGGACATTAGCTCTAAAAACTAAGTAAGAGTGGCATAGTGAGTGTTTTTCTAACCAAGCTTTCATTAGTAACAAATATGATGAAAGGGTTACATGATGGTTTAGGGTAATGATGAGGTTTTAGCAAAATCCTTTAAAAAAATGATATAAACTTAATTTTTGCAAGTAGTAGTAATATATGTACTCTATGCTACCTATTTGATTATTTATGAGTGATATATTAGAACAGAATTTATCCAAATCGTGTATAATTCAAGTTTTGTTTTGTGACTAGTAAAGCTTTGTCACAACAGAGTCACATTTTGCGACTCTGTTGTCATTTATATGCGACGACTATCTTGTTTTGTTTGCACTCTGTTACAGACCACTTTCCGACGATGTTAGGACACATTTGTGACTTGTTTTGCGACTATTTTGTCTCTTCGTATTATTGAAACAGAATATTACATACGTACGACTTGAACCGCTTACATATTTGTAGTATTTATCATATGGAACCAAATTGCCAATGTTATGCATATAAGAAGATAAACAGAATTAGATATTGGTAAATTAAAAAAAATCTTAGAAATTATATTTTACAAAGCAATCCTTAAAAATTATTTTACATAGAAATTACTCATCTTCACCGACTAATTTGTGACTATACCAAATAGCGTCGCAATAGTTAGCTGTACCGAACTTTCACATTTCAACGTTTGTAACGACATTTTACTACCTCTTTCCCACTAACCTGTGACAACTAGACGAAGTTACAACGCCGTCGCTTTTTTGTGAATTATTTGCGACTACTTCTGCCGACTATTAAAAGCGTCACAAATTAGTCTCTCATAGCGACCCTTTCCTGACTACTTTTGCTTAGTCGCATAATAGTTGCCTAACAGAAGCAAATATGAGACGTTTTTGAGACTTTAAATGTTCGTCGTTACTTTCTGACGGTTTTCCATCTCGATGTGATATAGTTGCTTATTTGCCCTAAAATGGTCACTATAGCGTCGCTCTTTTTTGCGACCGAAAAAAGAGTCACAACAAGTAGTCCCAAAACGCAGGTTTTCTTGTAGTGCATGTCTTCAGGTTCCAAAGATTCTAAACCGGGTGTGCCTAAGGGTAATTCACGTACCACTATCACAGGATCGATGCTTACCGAATAAACCTTGTGTTCGGTTGCTAGGATGAACCTAAACGTCATCTTGTGGTTGTTCAGGAACTTCTTGTCGTCAAAGAGAGTGTTCCATTGCTTAGATACGGCTCTAAAGCGAACAAGAACTTTAGGTGGGACGCGAGAGAGTATCTCCATGGAAGATTCTCCAGATGTTACATAATTTCACCTTAATTAGGGTTTTCGCTTTTTCTATCTTATCTTATTATATAAACCTTGATTTTAAAATAACCTACACTGATAATAACCTAAAATAATAATATCTATTTTGGTATTCTTAATTTCTAATATATTTTTGTATACTGATATTATGCAATCATCTTTTTGTTTTGCGTTTTCCTTTTTAAGAAAGGAAAATGATACACATATTTGAAGTTATTAAAGTGAAAATATTTAAACATATGTTAAAACCTAATAAATGAATTGAATATGTCGATATCTCAATGAAGGCCATGGATTCAGAAAAATAAAGGGCCTCAAAACATAAATAGGGGTTATAAATTTCTATCTCATTAGACGCGGAAACGAATCAAAATTTTGATATGATACAACCTTATATAATTTCCTTTTTGTAATAGGATTAGAACTTTACTTTAAAAAAAAAGAAATATTTTAATAAATTTAAATTTGATACATGTCAATATCTTATCGATTCAATTGACACGTGTCACGATCACGTTAATGACTAACTTTGAAAACCATACTTTATATAATAAGATTTGATTAATTCCTAGACGTGTTATCTTTAAATAAAATATATAATTAAAACTAAATTTTTTATTATAACTTACAAGAAAATAATATCCAAATTTTTTTAGAAAAAATAATTAGAGAAAATTTATAATTAGTGAAGAGTTTTTTTTTGGTCTGAACTTGTATATGTATATATATACTTGAAATTCGTTATTAAATGTTGGTTATAAAAGTCTAATAACTTTAAATTGTTTATCACCAAAAATATTTGCGAGCTATTCACCATTATTCATAATATTGCCAAATATATTGCAAACCTTGATTCAGTAATTATCCCCTAGAAAGTATTTGAGGTTCGAATTTGTACTACCCGAAGTTGACAATACTCAAAATTTTAGTATTGAGACATGTCCAAACTATTAGAAAATACCTAAATTATCTCAAAACCTCATGTATTTTTAACCCAAATTTACTAAAAACAGTTTCATTCTTAAAAAATGTCCAAAATATAGAAAAATGAATATTTAGGGTTCGTTGGCTATACTTTCTGAAGCCGTAAGAAATAGGAGTGAGTATTATACCACAATCTTAGTATTCTATCACGGGAAAATGGTATATTTCAACCTGTACTATTTCAGAAGTGTAAGATTCTACTTAGACAACCAAATTGTGAGCTTTTCAACCTAAAACCTCAAATAATTCAAATTAATTATCTAGATTTTGAATCGTTACCATTATCCTACACTGACTCAAACAGTGTTAATCAACCGTTAAGTAAAGCTAAGGCACATGACACGCGCGTAAGCATCGATGTGGCACTGCCTTTGGTTTCAAAAGCTCAAAACAACGTCGTTTCCCTATTGTATTAAAACGACATCGTTTTAAATTGGGGCAAAAATCTCAAAGTAGGGTTCAGCCCTTCATCTCTGATTTAACTTCTCTTTTGTGTAACTTAGAGAGGTTTTAACGATAACGGAGAATAAGCATTGAGATTTACTGCGATTTGCAAGTATAGAAGAAACAAGGCGAGAAGGAACTGTAATCGTTACCCAGAATCGATTACACAATCGTTACCTAGAATCGAAATCGACAATGAGGTTTTTTTTGTTTATCTCGATTCCAAATTTTGGTTCACAAGTGTAGAAGAAATAAGTGTTTTCATCCTTGTCAACAGAAGAGAGTCAAGTCAATACACTTGGAACTACTTTCAATATAACTTCTAGACAACGAGAGCCGAACAGAGTCCATTTGTGAGAACCCAATTTGCGGAGAGGTTAAATGAATTGATTTGGCCACCTATGTCACCAAAGTGCACTTATCTTTTTGGTTAAGGGTCCTGAGAGAACTTTACGGTTATGTGTGCTTATGCTGGAGTAGTCAAAGGATGAGTGACATTCCAGGAAGTGGTTGTCAGAACTGTGTGAGTGAGGCCAAAACACAGGGATATATCATGTGCTGATATGTAGGGTCGGTAAACAAGACTTTAAACCTCCCAGACGTAGCAAACCGGTCATTGGAT